TGATGAAATTGAAAAATTCTACCAACTTTTTCAGTCTGACATTGATCAAGCATGCAATTAATATGTAATTGATAATTACTGGCAATTGGAAGGCAAAGCTTAGAAACAAAGAGGAAAGATCCGAATTTGGAAAATATGGCCTTGGTGATAAAAATGATGCTGGAAATGGTATGATAGATTTTGCAAGACCAATGACTTCTTCATTGCAAATTACCATTTTTAAATAGCATAAAAGACATATGGACCTCACCAGATGGAATACACAGAAATCATATTGACTACCTCTGTGGAAAGAGACGGTAGAAAAGGTCTCTATCATCAGCCAAAACAAGGCCAGGAGAAGACTGTGGAACACACCATCAATTGCTCATATGCAAGTTCAAGCTGAAGCTGCACAAAATTAAGTCCACAAGGGCCAAAATATGGCCTTGAACATATCTCAACTGAATTTAGAGATCATCTGGAGAGCAGATTTGATAATTAGACACTAAAGACCAGAAGAGTTGAGGGTGACATCAAGAACATCATACAGGAAGAAAGCAAAATGTCATTAAGAAGACAAGGAAGAGGGAAAAGACCAAAATGGAGGTCTGAAACTTGCTCTTCAGCATAGCGATGCTAAAGCAAATGGAAGAAATGAGGAGGTAAAAGAGCTGAATAGAAAATTTCAAAGGACAGCTCAAGAAGACACAGTCAAATATTATAACGAAATGTGCAAAGACCTGGAGTTAGAAAATTAAAAGGGAAGAGCACACGCAGCATTGCTCAAGCTGAGGGAGCTGAAGAAAAAAAATCACGTTTCAGAGTCTCTTCTGACATCCATTTTGGTCTTTTTTTTTTTTTCTTGACTTCTTAATGACCTTTTGCTTTCTTCTGTTCGACGTCATCCCACAACTCTTCCCGTCTTCAGTCATTAGTGTCTAATGAATGCATCAGATAGATTCTTGAGTAGGTCTCTAAATTCAGGTGTACTATGTTCAAGGTCATATTTTGGCTCTCATGGATTTGTTTTCATATTCTTCAGCTTCAGCCTGAACTTGCATATGAGCATTTGATGGTGTGTTCCACAATCTTCCCCTGGCCTTTTTGTGGCTGATGAAATTGGGCTTTTCAGCTATCTCTCCCAACAGATATAGTCATTTTGTTTCCTGTGTATTCCATCTGGTGAATTCCATCTGGTGTATAGTTGCCTTTTATGTTGTTTTAAAAAGATATTTGCAATGAATAACTAATGATTGTTGTTGTTTTTAAGTGTCATTGAGTTGGTCCCAGTTCACAGTGCCCCTGTATGGGGTTTCTGAGGAGTGTCTGGTGAGTTTGAACTGCTAATCTTGCAGTTCAAACCAACCTTTAGGTCCAGTGCTACTCCATTTCTCATGAATTTGTCATTCCCAGCATAGTAAACCATGTAACTGTCACATTCAAAATGGCCAATACTAGTTCATTTCAGCTTACTCATGCCTAGGTTACCTATTTTATGTGTCCCATTTCACTTTTGACAACTTCAAATTTTAGATTCATGCTTTGTGCATTCCATGTTCCAATTATTAGCAGACGTTAACAGCTATTACTCCTCATTTTCAGTTGTGCCCCATTAGCAAAGGAAGGTCTCACTCCATTCTTGCCATCATGGTTAACTCTACTTTGAGGAGGTAAGTCTTCCCCAGTCGCATTTTGAGTGCCTTCCAACCTGAGAGGCTCATCTTCCAGCACTGACGCTATTCACCATGCTTCAATATTCAGTGCTCTGGTGCTAACAGTGTTCCTCAGCTATTCATAAGGTTTTCAGTGACTAAACTTCAGAAATAGTCTGCCTCTCCTTCTTCTTAGGCTGTTGCTGTACCCTATCCATCATGGGTGTCCCTACAGATATTTGAAATACCTGTAGCATATCTTCCAGAATTACAGTAACAAGCAAGTCATCACAGTACAACGTACTGGAAGATAAGAGATAGCATTTGCATTTGTTGTTTTTGTTAAGTGTTATCGAGTTTGTGTCTTCTCATAGCCACCATGTGTAGAGTTTCTGAGGAGTGGCTGGTGGGTTTGAACTACCAACTTTGTGGTTCACAGTCCAGTGCTGATCCTACAGCACCACACCAGGAGTCCATAGGTTTTATTTTAGTATTGTTTTTTAGATGGAGAAAATTAGATTTAGAGAGGTTCATTAACTTGCTCTCAAGCAAGTACTAAGGTACTAGTTATCACTGGAAAATAAAATTGGAATGTAACTCAGGACTGTGGGGTTTAAGCATTTATGCTTTTTCTAACACACTCCTTTCTAGTCACAGTGGTCGATACAGAGTAGGTGCTCAAAAAAAAATGCTGGTTCCCTCTTTGAATGTCACAAAATTAACTGAGCAGATAATCAGCAATCATTTGGTTCTGGTTTGAAGTAATTGGGGAAAAAAAACAAAAAACAAAGCACTAATAACTGGAATGTTTTCAAGATGCTGGCAGAGAGATCAGTATTTACCTTTGAAGCAGAATACTCATGTCCTCCCCACAATATTACGCCTGCTGCCCCCAGAGAGGCGCTCTCACCGATTGTGTGCACTAAGTCTTCCTACAACAGAGAATCAAGTGTCAGGAGTAATGTCTGCCAAATCAGGTTTGGTCCTTCACATTTCAGTAATAAGACATGACACATCAACTGTGCTAAAGAACACACGATAGAGCAAGTTTATCTTCATTTCTAAAACAAAGGACTATCACGCAGAATTGGAATATTCTGAAAAAGCAGAATTTTGTTTTGGTACTTCACATTTATTTGATATGTATGAGGTGTTAGGTAATAGTCTCAACACTGAAGACAGAAAAATGAAATAGAGCCCAGTTTCAGAGAGGACTTTTGTCTGGTGAGTGAGACAGAATACAAGCAAGTCATTACAGTATAGTAGATACGTACTTCTATGCATTTGGTGTTGCTATTAGTTGTCATGAGTCAATTCTGACTTATGGTGGTCCCATGTGTTTCAGAGTAGAACTGAGCCCCACAGGGTTTTCAAAGCTGTGACTTTTTGGAAACCGATTACCAGGCCTGTCTTCCCAGACTCCTCTATAGAGGTTCGAACTGCCCACCTTTTGGCTAGCGGAGAGGGCTTATCACTGTGAGCTACCCGGGGCCTTCATGTATCAGTAGAGCCCTTTAGTACTCTTTAGTAGCATATATTGTTTGGAGGAGATACATAATTCTGCATGAAGGATCTGGGAAGGCTTCATGGAAGAGGTGAGATTTCACATGGGTCTTGGAAAATGCGTAGAAATGCACACTATTAGACCCTAACCGTTGGACATACTATATACTCATAAAGACAAAACCAAAGGAGGCGAAGCTATTTTTATTTTTTTAACCACTAACCTAATCGATCTAAACATAAAAATATAGTATAATGAAATACCTACATGGTTAATAATTAATCCTAAACTCTATTTGTGCACATTATTGATTTGGAAAACTACTGCTAAGCTTTCAAATTGAAAAGGCTGATTCTGAAATCTCTCCCTAGTTAAAACGAATCTATCTGTTACATAATTTAACTCAAGCTTAACCACGGTTCTTTTGGAGACTCTTGTAAATTCTAAACTATTAAAAAACAGCATCCAAAGAATCTAAGCAAATATCTAATTATCAGCAACACTCTTTTAGAGCTGGGTTGACATTTGAGGAAACATATGCTTTTAATAGTAGAATGTTGCTGTTAAGTGCCCTCGAGTCTGTTCCAACTCATAGCGGCTCTGTATAGGGTTTCCGAGGAGAGACTGGTGAATTTGAACTGCTGACCTTGCAGCTCAAACCGACCTTGCCGCCCAGTGCTTTACAATACAGCATCACCCCAGCGTTCAATAATAACTTCTCACACAAATTTCCAGCAGCATTTTTTCTAGACTTCATATAATGATTCTACTAAATTTCCATTTTGTAAATGCTTACCTGTGACAAAGCTTCAATACTATGTAAATAAAACGGCCTGGAAAAAATAAAAACTGGTAAAACATAGTCCTGTCGAGCCATTTTAGCAATTCTCATGGCTTCTCTAACTCGATAATGAACAAACCTCAAAGCATTTAAACTTGACTTCAGTATTTTATCCAAATATATTGAGGAATAAAGTGCGCTGCTTTTTTCCCAGAGCCACTCGAGCTGGTCATTGCGGGACATTTCATCACTTGGACAGTTACCGGAGAAGTTCTGTGGATTTATCCTGTAATCATAATTATAACAGTCCGGATAGAGATAAAAGCCCCATAAACATTTGGGTCTCATTTCTAAAGCCAGTGTGAGAGTAATGTTCATAAAATTTCTTCCAGCGGTTTCAAATTCCTGTTGAGCAATTTGTTTCACTTTCATTTCTGGCCATTCTGGGTGGCGGCTTCGAGTGAAGGCTATGGAGTCTTGTTTATAAGTGATTCTATTGCCCCGATTTCTATCCCACTGGGGTTTCCAGCTTTCCCAATCAATGATAACAAGTCCTTCTGATCTCCACTGAGGGATTGCTTTTGTAATGTCAGCCGCAGTTTTCTTCAAGTGCTGAGAGAGGCTCATATTCTGTGGTATGCCTCCGTTAAAGGATATTCTGTCGCTAGAAAAATAAGGATAATATCCTAACTGATTAGGATAAAATATGGCGACTATTGATCCACTTTGAGTCTCTACAGGATTTGATATAATATTAAACAAGTGAAGATGTAAATCCACATTGAAGAAATGCTTACACTGCATTGTAGGGGCAGCCCAAAAAATGTTGAAAGGCTGATTCTGGACCACCGGAGGCACGACTGGTTTGAGAACTGGAAACGCAGAAAAACTCATTGCTGCCGGGTAGACTTCAAACATGATAAAAATCAACAGCACTCCTACCCACACCACCCAAAGGTGGTACATGATTTTCCGTCTTCAGCATTACAACAGTTTCCTTAAAAAATAAGAAGGAAGAAAATTATGCATCATGGAGTCCTGATCCTTTAATTTTATAAGTAATTAACAAGTCAAGTAAAATCGTTGATGGTGGCTAACCTATCCTTTAAGTGACAGGCCAAAGTTTTTAAAAGATTTGTGACATTTACTCATGTCCAGACCTAATTTGCAGTTTCAACTCAACAACTATACAAAATAATGCTTGTTTTTGTTTATTTGTTGGTTTTGTTTTTCCCCTCTAACTTGAAATGTGAGAAGGAAAAATCCAGTGGACGAAAGCTAAAATAAAAAGTTTCATGTAAATTCTCAGCTATGCCAATTCTACCTGCTAGCTGATCTGGTTTTAATTTCCTGTAACTCTGAGCATACCATTCGAAACTATTTTGCCTTTGGTTATAAAAGAACTAGAAATTATGAATGGCTTCTTATATATTCTTACTGTTTATTGAAAAAGTGAATGTTCCTAGAATAAGTCCTCTTGACATGAACAAATATCAACATCCAATCAAATAGTAAGTTGTAGAAGAAGAAACAGCAAAGTGTACTAACAGTACGTAATATCTTGCTTCCTATTAAAAGACAACTTTTGATCTCAAAAGCTTTTGCTGGTTTTTAAGACAGAAAGCAGCCTAGACTAAAATAGGAAAAAGACAGGGATGGCATTTACCTATGGTTGATTATGAATTTGGGAGCTATCATCTTCTCTCAGCTACATAAAGAAGTCACAAAACCTATTCGTTCTTGGCTTTCCAATGAAGCAATTGGAATGTGTTTTCACCAGCAAAACCTCAAGTGGAAATAGTCAGTTGGGCGAAAAACTGCCAAAGAATCTTCCCAGAATACAAGGACAATCTGCTAGTTGATGCATTCCAGCCAACTGGATCTCACTTTCAAGCAATGTGACTGAAGGTAGGTATCAAAACTGTTTCAGCCTAGCAAAGCCTTGCATCCTTTTAAATAAGGAATCACAGATTTTCTCTGATGTAATTAAAGTCAGTCTCTCTTCAGGAATGATATATTGTTTCTTATGTAGTTCTTGGTGTCTTTATTCAATATCTTACATGCAGAAAAATATATCAACCAAAATCATATGGTAACTCTGGCAACATAGCCCCCCACATGGGGAAATCACTTAAGTATATCACAGATCTTTTTCATACTGAATTTTTATCAGTAAATATGAATGATAATTTGCTATTTTAAATAAACTGGATGTTATAGAGATAATTCATTGACTTGGCTTCCTGTGGACTTTATATTATGACACCAGATAACTCATTCAGTCATCAAATTCTTTTCCTTCCACAAGATCATATCATGGCCCCCTGTGATGGCTACTGTTAAGACGAAGCTACTACCATCCTCAGGGATTTGGCAGAAACTGGACTGGATGCTCTTCTATAATGTAATAAATGGTATCACATTCCAGATTATCTGAGGAAATCAGTCAATCAATGGAAGAGGCATTTCCTTGTGAATCTGGCCTGCCTCCAGTATATAAATGGATGTGCTGGGAAAACTTTCTCAACCTTGCATCTTCTCATCACCTGACCTCCAGTTGTTGGGATGGAAGCCTGCAGAAGTCTCCAGCCTGCCACCTGGCCTGCAGGTTTTGGATTTGCTGCTTTATTGACATCAGCTAACCTCAAGGGAGGTGGGCAGATTCAAGCAATCATGACTACATCATGAGGTGATTCTTTTCAGTCTCTTTGTTGGCTCCTTCTTCTCTACCCTACCTTTAAAGGCTAGACCACCTTAGGGTTCCTCTGTACTTGACAGTACCTAACAACAATTAGAACAGCTGCTCTCTATCTGCTGATGATCCCCAAATCTGTATCTCTGGGTCAGATCCTTACCCTAATTCTAGATGCAAGCCTCCAAAAGATTACCTAATCTCAATTTAAAGGTTCAATAGACCTCCAAAACTTAATACATACAGGATGTGTGTTCATTTTCAATCCTTCCAAACCATGCTGGCTCCTCCTCAAAAAATCCCTAAATTAGTAATTAGTCTCACCATTCATTTAGTAGATGCAGTCAGGAAAACTAAACACCTCCTTTTCCCTCAAATGCCCATTCAATCCATTGCTAAGTCTTGTCTACTCTTCCTTCAGAGTTGAACTGGAAATTGTCCAGTCATCTGTCTCCAGTTCTCTTATCTTCTTCCCAGATACCAAACATCTTTCATCTGTAATTTCTGCAAGTGTTTCCTAACATGTCTCTTTGTGTCATAGCTGACATTTTTCATCAACCCATCTTCTGTATAATAGACAAGAGTGATTTCTAAACCAAATAGAATCAGGTAAGACATCCCCTTCTTAAAAAAAAAAAATCCAATTTTTTGCTATAAACTTTAAGATGATACTCAAAATTCTTACCTGAGTCTTCTAGATCCAACCCCATACTATTCTGCCACTTTCTCACTAAACTCTGGACACACTGGATTCTTTTTAGTCCTTGACCATACCACAGTTTTCCATCAATGTCATTCCCTCTGCATTGAGCGTTCTTCCCCAACTCTTTGTATGATTAATATTACTCATCCTTCAAGTCTTAGTTCATAATCCCTTCATCAAGAAGACATTCCATAACCCATCTAAACGGTCTCCTTCAATTATGTGCTATCTCAGTGCTGTCTTTATTCCTTTTATGACATTTAGTTATTTTTAAAATGCATTTGTTCACTTTTTTTTTTGTTGTCAATATAATTTACATTCTCTACTAATTCGTTTAATATGGAGTCCTGGTGTGGCACTGTGGGTTAATGTGTCAGACTTCAAAGCCATTTGAACTGCAAGGTTGGCAGTTCAAGCTCACCAGCTGCTCCTTGGAAGCCCTTTACAGGGTCACTATGGGTCAAAATCGATTCGACGGCACTTCACAACAACACAACACAAATTTGTTCAAAATTATATTCTTGTGTATAATTTGATGAATAAATGATAATACTTTTTCCTCTTGCTGCTTCCTTTAAAATTCCTCAAACAAACCAATAGATGTGGATATTCTCAATTGGAATGTTTAATAGATTAAATTTTGTGTCATTTTTAACACTCTACTTGGACTTCCTGCTTTATTTATTCTCAGAAAAAAAGTGTATTTGAGGACTCTGTTTTAGATTCAGAGAATGATTTAGAACATTCTTCAATTCAGCATGGAGTTTTAAAAAACAACCTGTAGTCTACATGAAGTAAACATTTCTTGTAACTTAGGTCATGTTGTTGTTGTAGTTAAGTGCCATCAAGTCAGTTCTGACCCATAGCAATTGTGTACAGGGTTTCCAAGCAGCAGCTGGTGGACTTGAACCACCAGCCTTGTGGTTCAAAGAGACTTTGCACTCCAGTGCATTAATCCATAATGCCATACCAGTTGCTTTCTATTAAATGTTGTTGTTGTTGTTGTCAGGTGCCATCGAGTCGGAACCGACTCATAGCGACTCCATGCACAGCAGAACGAAACAATGTTCGATCCTGGGCCAACCT